GAACTAAGGTAGGGGAATGATGGTGGGGCGGGTACAGGATGGAGGGGAATAAAGGGGAGAAAAACTGGGAAAACTCTAATAGCATATTCAATAAAATACATTTTAAAAAATTAACAAAATAAAATAAACATAGCACTCTTCAAATAATATGTACATAACAAAAGAGGGGTCATTTATGTTTCTGTTTTTATTTTTCAGACAGAGGGGAAGGGAGGGAGAAGGGGAGAGAAACATTGATGTGAGAGAGACACGTCCATCAGTTGCCTCTCTCTGTGACCAGGGATCCAACCAGCATCCTTTTCCTTTGCGGGATGACACAAAACCAAAACAGCCTCACCAGTCAGGGCACAAAAGAGGTTTAAAGGGCCAGTTCAGGACTACAAACACCATCTAATCTCACTTATCTGTGGAATCTAATAAACAAAATAGACCACGGGCGGCAAACACAAGGCTCTGGGGCCAAATCCGGCGCTCCACCTTCTTTTATGTGGCCCGGCACCTTGTTTCTACCTGGCGGCAGGGCTGAGGTCCTTGCCCCTAGTTAAGGAGTAGTTACATCTGTACAGTCCTGAAATCATTATCGACTCTTTGTAGGAAACCACAATGCTGAGGTGGCCCCAGTGAAATTAGTTTGACACACCTGAAATGGACAGAGGCATGGACACATGGAACAGACTGACAGCTGGAAGAGGGGAGGAGGGGAGGGGATGGAACAAGGTAAAGGGATTAGCCCAGAGACAGAGACAACTGCCTGCTGACCCCCAGAGGGCAGGGAGGTGAGCTCAGGGGTGAAGTGAACGAAAGCGGGAAATCAGACACCCGAAACAAAGTAAACAATTAAAGTAGTTAAAAAAATAAAATAAATGAATAAAAAAAAACGAGGTAGTGTGAGGCCTGGTGATTCTCAGGTGATGCTACTACCATCCACAATCCAGTGATTCCAGACATTTTTAGGCAAATCAGTCACCAACATTCCAAAGGATCCCATTTTAGGATTGAGAGAGAAAATTTTGTCAATTTTGATATTCATTTCCCAAGAGAGGACCAGAAATGATATTCAGGATCTAATCTACAATGATTACATGGCAGTATTTTGTTCACATTCATTTAAAAAATAACTTTCATACACAATGAAATACTATGTCATAGTATTTCATACTATCCTTTGTTCCTGGTAAGTTCTCTCTGTGGGGTGAGAAAATCTCATTACCTGGGTGGAAACCTGGTTGGATTGGGTGGGACAAACAGAAAGTGGGTGAGGTGGGAGGAGGGCCCAGCCTGATAAAAGGTGCTTGCTGGTCGACCTCACTCCAGAGCTGAGCCAACAGGGGAAGCAGCTGGAAACCAGAAGAGGACCTAGTGCACCAGAGGTGAGTCCATGGTTTGTTTTTCCTGTTTCTACAAAAGGTTCAGCAAGTGCTGACTGAGGCCAGCTCAGTCCCAGGCATGGGATGGACACCTAGGGATGAATGCCTTTGATGGGAGCAGTGGGCAGAACTTAGATGTGTAACACCAGGTGGCAGAAATGACATGGTCATTTTTATGCTGAGTCAGATCCGAGATGGGTGGACCCTACCAGGTGGTGAGTGGAGTTTCACCCACTGATTTCTTCCACCTCTCAGGTTCTGCTGTGGGTCTCAGCCACACTCAGCTGGGGCAGTGGTAGGATTTCTGGGTCTCAGCCACCACGGTCCACTGGACATATAAAGTCACACAGAGACGTCATCATAAATTAGTGGGGTTTTTTAAGCTTTTTTTTTAACTTCCTGATGTGAGGGAGAAAGAAACATGGATTTGTTGTGAACTCATTGATGAATTCCCTGGTTGCATCTTGTCTGAGCCCTGACCAGGGATTGAACCTGCTACCTTGGGGTATCAAGATGATACTCTAACTAAGTGAGCTCCCCAGCCAGGGCTAACCTCATTTTCTACAAAACACATATACAAAGTAAAAACAAACAAACTAACTAACTAACAAAAAACAAGCCTTTCGTTATCACTGGCAGAAGGCAGTGATTTCAACATCTCATCAATTTCAGAAGTTCTTTGGGAGGTGGCTTATATTCTCCTGTCCTGTGATGTCTTCAAATTCCAGGGTATATCTTAGGCTCAACATCTTTGAAGGTCGATAAGCTCCATCCCACCGGCTCAATAGCCACTCCAGGCTAGAGCCTGCCACAGGAGACATTCAGGTAGCCCTGGCCAGGTGGCTCAGTTGGCTTGATTGTCATCCCATATTACTGAAGGTTGAGGATTGTGCTCCACTCGGGGTGTACAAGAAGCAACAGATTTCTCTCTCTTTCTCGCTCTCTCTCTCTCTCTCTCTGTATCTCCCTCTCTCCCTTTCTCCACTTCCTCTCTGTCTCTAAAACCAATAAATACCTGCCCTTAGCTGAGGATTGAAAAAAAAATTCACAAGTAGAGTAGAGATCATCTCACCCCCTAACTTACAGCCCCAGGATGAAGCTTGTCTTCATGCTAACTAGCATTTCAAAATCAGAACTTCCGGGCCATGAGCTATTGATGTTTGTACTTGGATTGCATCTTGACTGCCTGGGAGCAGGGAGTGCAGGTCGCTATTCACAGAAACAGGGTGGAGTCCCAGGACCCATCAGTCCTTGTCACTCACGATGTACTAACCACCTGTCCCTTCCACCAGAAAGCGGCCATGGCCCAACATTTTAAAGATACAAGCCGTTGCTACGTCTGCCTGACCTACCTAAAAGACCCTGTGAGCCTGAAATGTGGGTTCATCTGCTGCCTCAAGTGTGTCGACTCACTGTCGAGGGGCCCCGGGGGACAAGGGATTGTGTGCTTCATCTGCCCTGAGGTTTCTCAGAAGAGTGACATCAGGCCCAAACACCAGCTGGCCAGGCTGGTGTCAGAGGTCAGGGCACTGGAGCCCCAGCTGAGAGCCATCCTGAGGATGAACCCGAGGATGCGCAGGTTCCAAGGTGAGGTCTGGGGCCACCAGCTCCCACCCCAAGGGAAACAGCCACTTGTCAAAACCCTCCAGCCAAGGTGCTTTACCTGGGTTCTGGCACCTGAAATGCTCGTTCTTTTTCAATGTGCCAACCTGGAACTCTGCATTAAAACCACCTATAGGTTTTCTTTCTTTTTAAAAGATTTTATTTATTTATTTGAAGAGAGGGGGAAAGGAAGTGAAAGATGGTCAGAAATACTGATACAAGAGAGAAACATGGATGGATTGCCTCTGGTAAGGGCCCCAACTCAGAACCCAATCCACAATCGCCCCCATGCCCTGACCAGGAATAAAACCAGTGTCTTGTTGCTTGGCAGAAGGTCTCTCAACCAAGCCCCACAGGTCAGAGACATCTGTTAGTATCCAAGAAAATATAAGACTTAGCCCTGCCTGGTGTGACTCAGTGGACTCAGTGCCAGCCTTAGGAACCAAAGGGTTGCCAATTCTATTCCCCATCAGGGCACATTCCTGGGGTGTGGGCCAGGTTCCCAGTAGGGGACCCCTGAGAGGCAACCACACATTGATGTTTCTCTCCCTCTCTTTCTCAATCCCTTCTCCTCTCTCTAAAAACAAACAAAAAAAATCTTAAAAAAAGAAAAGAAAAAGTACATAGTAATGCACTTGACCTGTACTATCCAGTATTTTCGGTAGCCACACAGGTAGCTGGTGGTCACTTGGAACTGGACATTGATGGAGTAGAAATTTGATAGATCTAGTAGAAATCCGAGGTTGGGTGTTCCATAGCCTGTATCCCTAAAATCCATTCTTCCTGATTCTTAACTGTTTTTAATGTGTTTGTAAACCATTTTCAGTTTTAAATATGTTTGAAGTTGATCTTTGAATTACAGTTGTCACACAATATTACAGTAGTTTAAAATTTGCAGCATAGTAATTAGATATTCACATACCTCCAGAAGTGTTTCCCCTTGATCAGCCTAGTCCCCACCTGGCACCATGCACATCACCCCAGTATTACTGACTCTATTCCCTGTGCTTCCCACTACCACCCTGGGCCTGTTCTGTCACTGCCCATCTGTACTTCCCAATCCCTTCCCCTGTTTTACCTCATGCTCCAAACCCCCTCCCATCTGGCAAACATCAATGATTTTTTTAATGTTTTCAACTCTAGTTGCATTCAATATTATTTTGTATTCTACATCAACTGTAACTGAAACTTAAAAAATTGTTTTAAAAATTAAAGAGCCCTGGAGGTGGCTCAGTTGGTTGGAGAGATTCCAGTACACCACAAAAATGCAGGTTCGATTCCCGCCAGGGGGCGCCCATGAGGCAATCGAGGGAAGTCTCCTTCCCAACACCTCCTTTACTCCCTGTGCAAAATCACTAAAAACATATCCTCAGGGAAGGATAAATGATAAAAATTAAATTAAAAAAGGGAAAAGGAGATAAAGCAAACAACACACAGAGCAAGGAGTCTTTATTCCAGAAAGTTTCTTTCTGAGGTTGCACCAGCCCCATCCAGGGGTCACCTACAAGCACAGCTCAGCTGTGCGGGAATCTGAGTCAGAGTCGCAGGGAGCCGGTAGCGCAGCGCAGGGTCCACTGCTCCGCCTTTGGGCCCCTCTGGGCGCTGCCCGGTTGAGCTGCGGTCCCGGTTCCTGCTAAGGTGTCAGCGTGTCCTAAGGTCAGGACTCTTAGAAAAAAATACATATATACACATATATTTATAAATATATGTACAGATTTATATATTTATTTTTACATATAAATATAGTGTATGTGTGTATGTATAATTTTAACATAAATGAGAGAGAGAGAGGAAACAGAAAGCTTTCATGTCAATTTTACCCTGCAATAAGTCCAATATTCTCCGTGCTTTGAAATGCCTAGTTCAGGTGTATGTGTGGACAGAGTCTGTGATAATTTGTATGCTAATTTTGAACATGCAGCAGTCATGGTCTCTTTTTCCATGCGGGGTCCACACTAAAGGGAAGAAACCTCCTTCATCAACTAAGCAAAGAGCTTAATGTAGAGAGAACACCTGTCATGACCAAGGGCCAGTTCCAATGATGACCATCCAGTTGTGTCCATGAAATCTGATGTAATCGGGGACCCAGGAAGTTCCCCCAGGAAAACCCGAGGTGTGGAGTTGAAGACCAGAAAGTGAATGAGTCACGTGGGCCCCTGACGTGGCCCGGAGAGGTCGGGAAAGATCTAACGGATGATCTCTCTTTCCACAGTGGACGTGAGCTTGGATGTGGACACGGCCAACAACCACCTCTACATCTCCGAGGACCTGCGGCGAGTCCACTGCGTGTACGAGGAGCAGAAGCGCAGGGCCTGTCCTGAGAGGTTCAGCGCCTCCCTCTGTGTGCTGGGCTCCCCGAGGCTCACGTCTGGCCGGCACTACTGGGAGGTGGACTTGGGCACCAGCGGAGAGTGGAACCTCGGCGTCTGCAAGGAGTCTGTTCCTCGGCAGGAGAAGGTGGACCTCTCTTCCGAACATGGTTTTTGGACGGTGAGCTGCAGGGAGCACGTCACCTTCCAGGCGAGCACCAGGCCGGTGACAGAGCTCATGGTCAGTCCCGGCTTACACCGCATTGGCATTTTCCTGGACTTTGAAATAGGGACTATTTCCTTTTATGACGTGGGTGATGGCTCCCACATTTTTACATTCCCCCCGATTTCTGTGGCAGAACCCCTCCGTCCGTTTTTCGCTCCTGGGACTCAGGCAAAGGACGGTGGGAGCTTCATGACGCTCTGTCCCGGGTTCAGTCCCAGCGTGGCCAGTGCAGCTGGGCAAGGCCACAGGGCTCTGAGCACAGCAGGTACAGACGCACCCTGGGTGGGCACAGCCATGGACACCAGCCCCTCTGCTGGTGACCCAGCACCCTGAAAAACATGGGACAGCTGTGAATCCCAAACACAAATTATGGGGAACTTTGCTTCCCATATTAAGTCCTGTAATGGTTGTTTTGGGGGGATTTCCTTGTATAATTGTCCAATAAATATGTTTTGAGCAATCACATCAATTGCCAAATGTTTCCCTTTTCATTTTCTAAAAGATCAACTGCATGTATCAGGCAGGTTGTAGACAAAATAAAAATAAAAATGTGAGCCAACAGACTGAATGATTTCCTCTGCAATCAGAAACCAGACCTACAGAAACAGTTCAAACAGGGATGTGCCCTGGCCAGGGTGGCTGGGTTGATTGGACTGTCCGCCCATGCACCAAAATATCACAGGTTCGATTTCCAGTCAGGTCTTGTGCCTAAGGAACATAAGGAAGGCAACCCGACTGAGCTTTCTCTCTCTCAACAACAGGAGATGTGTGTGTGTGCCATTTCTCTCAGCAACAGAAAAACACATTTGTGTCAAGTGCACACAGAATGTTCCGAGACCCTAGAGGAAAGCAGGAGGACTTCAGGAGCAGCTGGATATAGGAGGTTCATTGGCTCAAAAAGAGTCCTTATGTTCATTTATAATGTTTGCAGTTAGTGAGGCTTCATTAGCTTCCAGCTTCAAGTGATGAGAACTGAACAGTCAAGGAGAAAGTGTCTCAGGTGCCACAAGGGGGGCTCTGCCACAGTCCCCACTGGGCCTTTGCTCCTGGTTCCTTCCCCTTCATCACAGCAGGGTTGTGTTGCTTAGCTACCACCAGACAGGTTGTCCTTGGAGTAAAACTGGCAGATTCTTGAGGGGGAGGGTTGGATGGGGCTTCAGGTGCAGCACCTGGGCTGATGTGGCCAGTGGCGGACACAGGGTGGGACGTCAGCATCGTGGTGGAGTGAGGACCCCTCTTAAAGAGACAAGTCAGACAGTGAGACACTCCCTGCACAAGCCTGTCTGCGAGACCCAGGGGGAGGGTGTCCCAGGGAAGTCCCAAAGGACTTACAGCCAGATTGGGAAGGCCCAATCTGGCTGTAAGACCCCCACCAGCCGGCAGAGGGTGCGAGGGTAGACATGACCTTCAAGCCATGGAGTGGCTACAACCTTGGACTGGTACAAGGACACCCAGGCAGCACAGCGTGGCGGGTAACCAGGGGTACAAGAGGCACAGAGAGCCGCCACAGTGAACTGACAGACGGGGAACTCAGGGAAAGTAAACACTGGAGACACAATGCGATGAGAAACCAAAGGTAAAACGAGTGGAGAGAGTCCTCGTAGGTCAATAATCACCTGAATGGACATGGGCTGAACTCACCAACCAAAAGGCACAGAGAAGATGAATAAGTTAGAGCAGAACCCAATTATGCTGCCTGTAGGAGACCCAACTCACATCCAAAGACACACAGATCAACCAATCTCCCTTTAAAATGGGCAGCCCTGGGCCAGAGGCCCAGTGGGTTGGAACCTCCTCCAGTCCACCAAAGGGCTAGGGTTCTATTCTTCCTGGGGGCTTGGATGAGAGGCAACAGATTCATGTATTTCTCTCATGTCCATGTCTCCCTTTCTCTCTCTTTTTCTCACTTTCTCCCTTCTTCTATCTCTCTAAAATCAGCAAACATGTCCTCAGGTGAGGATTGAAAAGCAATGGGCAGAGGACCAGAACAGACACTTACAGACGGCTAATAGAGGACTTACAGATGGCTTACAGATGGCTCATAGTCCTGAAAAAGTGCTCAATGTGTCTCTAAGAGACATGCAAACTAAAACCACAATGAGGAATCAGTTCCTGTCTGCTGGAAAATCTACCCTCAATAAAGCAACAAACCAGTGCTGGCCAGGATGTGGGGAAAAGGGAACCCTCTCGCACTGTTGGTGGGAATGCAGACTGGTGCAGCCCCCTGGAAAACAGTGTGGAGTTCCCTGAAGATAATAAGTATGGAACCACCTGTGGATCCAGCGATCCTACTTCTGGGTATTTACCTGAAGAAATCCAAACACTTACTTGAAAGAATATATGCACTCCTCTGTCCATCACAGTGTGATTTACAGCAGCCAAGCTCTGGAAGCAGCCCAGGTGCCCATCAGTGGGTGAGTGGATAAACAAGCTGTGGTGCATTCACACTGTGGAACACTACGAGGCAGAAAAGAGAATGAAATCTTGCCATTTGCTACGGCATGGATGGACCTAGAGGGTATCACGCTGAGGGGAATAAGTCAGACAGGCAGAGATAAAAATCATATGATTTCACTCATATGTGGAGCATAAAACAAAAAGCAACAAACAAATTGACAGAGCAAATGAAAAGGGACTCACAGTCACAGCCAGCCCTGTCATGGTCACCAGAGGGGAAGGAAGTGGCAGGAGGAGAAGAGAGGAGCGAGGGTCACATGTGTGGGGATGAAAGGAGACCAGAGGTGAGGTGCAGAGTATTTTTATTTCCCCACAGGGGGCTACAGCTGGATACTGCATAGAAGCCCTAGATGTCCCACCTGCCTGCCTCAGCTTGAACGACCCCTGTACATAAAAGTGACAGGTCCACATGTCCAGTGTGCTGGCCATGGCAGAAGGACTGGAAGAAACAGTAGACTGTGCCCCTTGCCCCCCGCCCCCGTGGTGTCTCAGAAGGAAGACTTCGGGCCAGTGTGCTGGCGGGTGAAGCTGGTTCCTAAGATGTGATTATCAACTGGCATTTCTTACTGTCAATCAAATATTGCAGTGGTCAGTTTCAATGTTATCTCCCTGAATTTCCACATCATTGCTTTGCCCTACTCCCAGTGTGTACAGCCAGGAAGGCTTCTCCCCACAGTCAGCATCCAGAACATGGGGACAGTCTGGTGCAATGGGAGACTACAGTATGAGCTCTACAAATGATAGAGAGGTATTACAGTGTCCTTTAGGTCCCATGGACAGAGGGAGACCCCAGACCCTGAGCAAGGACACAGTGGCCTCAAGCGCAGGTATTTTCCAGACTCAACACACCTCAGACTGGGAACAGCAAGCCCTGTGGAACTTGAATGCATAGGAAGACCAGGCACGGGTCACACAGGATGACCACTGTGAGGGGCCTGGGGACAGAAGAAGAAGAAGCTGAAGGCAAGGGCCCAGTGGGAAATGCTGTGACTGGAGCTACTGCTGCAAAGTGACCCTGCACCCCAATGACAACATGACTCTCAGCTCAGATTCTCTCCAAGGAACATGGGACACTTTTTCTGCCTCCTGCTGGCTGCTCCAGAGAGCCATCTCAGTATTGGCCATCACTGTCCCCAGTCTCTACACCTGCCTGAGGCTGCCATCTTGTGGTCATATTCTGATGTCAGGTTCTTTGTCCTCATGGTCTGGCCTCAGCCTCTCCATGGTGCTTCTCCTGCACAGACACCACCAGAGGCTGCAGCACATTCACACCCCACTGCCCCCACCAGTGCCCTCCAGAGACCAGAGCCACCCACACCATCCTGATGCTGGTGGACACCTGTGTCAGCTCCTATGTGCTGATTTCTATGTTCACTTTAAAGTCATTGTGTAAGTGGGTCCCCATCTCTGGTGGGTGCAGACCTCCCCTGGTTGGCTTCTGGTTTTCTTGCTCTTTGTCCCTCACTGAGGATGCTCAGAGATCCTAGAGCTCCTGGGGTCATTCATTAACTGTTGGAAGTGACTCTTGACAATCTAATCTGTGGATGTCAGTGTTTACAATATTCTAATTATACTGTTTACGAATCCTTCACCACATGCCAATGTACAAAATATCTACCATGAACTTTATTTTAAGTTACAATAGAATTGACATACAACCTCGTGTAAGTATAAGGTATCCAGTGTGTTTATTTGATGCACTTACATCACTCACGTGCCGTCTAATGGTGGTGATCCACCCTGAGAAACATGTGGTTGTGTGATGCTGTGGTTGTGCAAACAGCACAGAGGCACTCACACCTGGATGGTCTCCCTACTGCTCCCCTACACTGCAGGGCTCAGCCTGTTGCTTCTGGGCTACAAGCCTCCACAGCACATTGTTGTACAAAACAACTTGTACAATAAATCGACACAAGAGAAGGATGCCATCACGAGACCCGATAAACACAGGTATGAGGCTGCTACAGCCATAACAAAGCATACTTTTCTACTGTAAGCCTTTAAAAAAAACCTGTCACCCAAGGCCATGTTAATCTATTTGAGAGAAAGTGTGTGTGTGTGTGTGTGTGTGTGTGTGTGTGTCAGAGAGAGAGTCAATATTCTGCCCCTAGGCACTCTGACCAGGGATCAAACCCAAAACATTTTGGTACTCATGACATTCTAACTAACGGAACCACCTGGACAAGGCAGGCACAGATTCTTTGGTCAGGGTCTGCTTAGAATTGTGATCCATTTTTATTGAGTCATTATTATCTTATTGTTGAGTTTCAGCATTCTTATCGATATTCTAAAAGAATGGAATTGCAAATAATTCTCCTAGTCTGTGGCCTGAGCTCTTTTTACAGATAACAGCAACATTAATGCACTGATAGGTTTTCCTGGGAGGAGGAAGCAGAAGTGACTCACTGAGATGGTTTCATGGGAGAGGACTTAGGTGACTGAGGGGACAGGGGGACAGTGTGACTTATTTCCTTTGTGTGTTCTTCAGTGCCTTTTGAATTTTGTTGTATGTGCATGAATAACTTTTTCTAAAAAGAAGTTACAGTAAATCCCTACCATTGTAAAACTCCTGGCAGACCATCCTCACATCACGATTTAAGATTCACACTCTGATCCTCTTCTCTAGGACCAACCATTTGCCTTAGATATTCCATTCCTGACAAACTTGGATGGACTCTATGGACAAATCCTCCCACTGAAAATAGCTTAAAATGATGTGTGTAATACAAAAACAGACTTCTGAAAAGCAACAAGGGGTTGACTAGATACTAACGACCAAGCCCCAGAAGAAGGGAAAGACCCAGCTTGCCCTCCACAGAGAGCAGCGCCCTGAGTGAGCAGTGGGGGAAGGTGTGCAAGTTCATTGCCCAGAGTCCAGACATGGAGCCCAGCACTGTCAGCCCTGAGCTGACCTCTTCACTTTCCTCCCCATCTGCCTTTTCTTTTATACATGTCATCAACACTTTTTAACTTAATTTTGCATATATAGATAATCTGAGATTTATATGATGAATGCATACTTACTGTAAAAATCATAAAATGTTAGAAGTTGTAAATGACAAATTCTCACTAAAGTTCATTGACCCGTGCACATTAAAGCCTGATCCAATGCAAACAGCAGTTTGCAGCAAAGAGAGTAAAGGGTTAGCCCTGGTAAGTGTGTCTCAGTTTGTTGGAGAATCATCCCATGACTGAAAGGTTGCAAACTGATTCCTGCTCAGAGCACATACCTGGGTTGTGAGAATGATCCCTGGTCCACGTGGCTGTGGAAGGAAATCAGTTGATGTTTCTCTTTCATATTAATGTTTGTCCCTCTCTCATTTCCTCTCTCTCAGAAAGCAATGGGAAAAAAATCCTCAGGTGAGTATTAAAAAAAAGAAATTAATGATTTCTTTAAGGAAGTGACACCAAACCCAGAGTCACAGGTGAGTTGTTCCTCTAAGACCTGGCTTCCTGATGGCTTCTAGGGGATGGTTGCATAGGAGACTGAGGGACTTAGGGTCAAGGTCTCCATTGATTGGTCAGCACTAGGGTAGGGGGTGGTTGATCACTGCTTCTGTTCCTATGTCAGGCATAGGGCCGTTCTGTCTGATTTCATACGTTCATGCCCCTACTTTCCCCACAGTCTAAATCTTCATGAGCATGTTTTTGAACACATCAGATATCCAACAACTTTCACCTCTGTACACACCTGTCCAGAGCCCTAGCTCTGGCCACAGGTACACTGGGTCTTTGCAGACTAGGAGCTGGGTGTCCTTCACCTCAGCTCGGGC